GGATTTCTTTTAAAGCAAAAGAAAAAAAAAAAACAATTTTTTTTTTTATTAGTTGATGAAAAATATTTTAATTGTAAAAATTTTTAAATAAAAAATCCTACATGATTACTAACATTAAAATCAACAACAGAATGTTTAATACCTAATAGCACTCACACTGTCCTGGTAAGCATTGCTATAGTACACACATACTTACACAAAATTATAAAGATAATAAAGATTTTTGTTTTGAAAATTAATTGTTTTTACATGTTGATGTTAAAAAAAAATTTCTCAATGAGAATAAAATGGATTATATTATTTAAAACTTATTATTATGTTTGTATTATGTAATATTTTAGATCATGTTTTAAGCCTATATACTTGTACATACTATTATATGTAAGTATATATTGGAATGTCGTAAAAGAAAGTTCAGAATTGAATAATTAATTACGATTATGTCTGGAATACTTAATTGGTATTTTTATTAGAACACAAGAGCAGCGCTATTATTTTTTTATATATTGGTTGAAAATTTTTTAATAAGATGAAGAAATCATCAGAAGAACACCATATTCAGAGAACAAAATTAATATTTTAATGATTTCTGTTGAAAATGAAAGTAATTTTTCCACAATGTTTTCTAATTGTACTGGTAAAACTAACTATTATTTGCAAGATATTAGTGAGATTTCTAAAAATTTTAATAACTCGGAGAAAGCTGTTAAAAAATTTGAAGAGAAGTTGTTCAATCCCACAATTACTATCAGTGGCCATCAGTGATCAGTGATCATTGTGTCTTTTCATTTATTTGTGTCATTTTAAGATAATTGGAATAAGCAGCTGCGTAGGAGTTAACTGGATATGATATACGCATAATTGGTATGTAGAATTAGAAATTTTATGGTTTGAATACAATAATTGGTATTAAAATTTTAAATATCGATAAATAAAATTTAGGAGGAAAATGAATTTCTCGCTATTATTAAATAAGCTTCTTTTAAAGGTTTTTGTTCATAAAATTTCAGTTATCTCACGGGATATGTGAACTATTGTGGAAACCAAATTCATATACAATATATAAGGTTTTGTTGGATTATTTAAACAAAATATTGATTTAGATAAAAACTTATTTTTATATAACTGAGAATTGATGAATTATATGGTTTCAATAATAATTGTTAATAAAACAATTATTATTAAAAACGAGAAAAAATAGAGTTGACCGTGTTAACTCTGTGATACCCGTACGTATTTGTTATCTTATGTGCGTATGAATATGCCATAGCTAACTATAAGACAGGCTATGACTTTAAGTTGCCATATCACCATATTAATTTATGAAAAATTTCAGTATTGTGTTTTCAATATTTTCTATGTGAAACTAGTCAAGAAATTTCAATTATTTTTCTACACATAACAGCCCTAATAATATCATTGTTTTTACGAGATTTCTATATTATAGTTTCAATAGCTTCTGAGATAAGCCAAATAACTTTTAGAGTTGTATGGCAGCTACCAGAAAGAGCCAAGCAATTTTAATCACTTTTATCAGACACATTGGTCCTACTAATATATTCTTTTGTGTGAAATTTTGAAAATGGAAACGAACGGATGGACGGATGAACGGACGGACGGACGAACGGACGGACCGACGAACGGACGGATGAACGGACGACGGACAGACAAAGATAAATCAACTCAGAATTCGACGCTGATCAAAAACATACACTTGAGTCTATATCTAAGACCGTTATTTCTTAGCGTTACAAACGGTAAGGCAAATTTAGTATACCCTTCGAACATACTTTCGTACGGGTATTATAAAATGAGAATTATTGTAATTGAAGCTTTCTTAAAAGTACAGTGAGTATAATTTACTCTTTAACAATACCTACAAAGCTTACTATAAAATTTTATAATTATTCACTCATTAATTAGAATTGTAATTGAGTGGGAGAATTAGTGAGACTTGTAATTATATTATGTACAATGTGAGCATACTCGTATTTATAATAATTTTCTAAACATACAAATTTTTCATTTATTTGCAGCTATAATCGCTCATTTTTAATAGCAGTGATTATGAATAATTTTCCACTTTTTTAATAAACGAACGATTTAGTTTTATTAATGATTTAAAAATTTTAATCATTTTCTCTACTGTTCAATATTACAGATTTAATAAAATCTTGAAAGAATTGTATATTCGTAAATGTAGTCATAAAACCATCAGAACAATATTTATTGAAATTAATTCCAGTACTGATTACACCTAATAAATAATATTTTCCTTCATTTCCATATCCTTTTTTAATAACCATACCACCACCACTATCACCTCGACATGCAGTTGAATTTCTATAATTTGTTGCACAAAATTTATCACCAGTAATTTCAATTCTTTGATTAGGATGAACCATCGTTTTACATAATGTATTTGTAACAGTTAATACTTCAATTGTTTGCAATTTACCACTTGGTTTATCATCTAAAGATGTTGATCCCCATCCGAATACTCTTCCAATGATTCCATTTTGAATATGATATTCATTATATGGTTTCCATTCAATGCAAATAGGTTTAATATGACTCGTATATTCAATATGATGATCTAAAATTAAAACTGCAATATCATTTCGGACTGGATTGTATTGATAACTGAAATTAGTTAATTAGTTATAGATAAATCATTTATTACGAGTATGTAAATGTATGAGTGTTGAAAATATTAACCTTTCAGGCGTATGTATCTCTTTTACTCTAGCAAAATGTTGAAACTTTTCATCTAAATCATATTTTCTATATGTTTTTCCAGAACCAACTAAATAATTGGATACGGGATATTTTTCTCCATTAGCTAAATTATAAAAACAATGTCCAGCTGATATTACAATATTTGAATGAATCATCGTTCCGCCACACATTTGTTCGAAATCATTTGTACTATTTGAATATATACCGACATGCCATGGTGCTGATATAACATCGACCGGAGAACTTTTATACATTAATGGAATTGATTCAGATTCTGTAATATTAATAACTTGACCACAAACATTTTCACAATCGTTAATATCTTCTGTCTCATATTTCCATTTATTAAGAAAACATTTGTTAAGAAAACTGTTAGTTGTTGATTTTCTATTTTGATAGCCCAAATGGCATCTCAATATTATATAAGGTGCACCATTAGAACAATCAATTGGTTTTCTAACATAATTAATATACCAAGTGTGTGGAATTTGTATGTATGATTCAAATTTTTGTTCATAACAGAGTACTTCTGTATTCAAAGTTGGTGGATAACAAACATTTTTATATTCAGGACGCTTTCTAAAACAAAAAAATACAATTTTAATTATAATATGATTAAAAAAAATAATTTTTAATGATTTGCCTTCGATAGTCTGTTAATATAGAAGTTGTAGCATAAATTTCAAATCCTAAGCAATTCGGTTTTGTGATTTCATCGAATTTTATATAGTCACTAGGACCTAAATATAAAATACATAATTCCTGATCATTATATATTTCACGTTTAATAAAATTATAAAAAATATTATGTTCTTCCCATGAAAATTGTGATTTAGGTATACGTATTCTTAGAGATGTCCCCTCTTTATTCATAGTATATTCGCATTTTGTTAAAATATGCCTTTCAAATAAAATTAAACCAGGAAATTTGTTTGACTCCTCTGATATTTCTAAAATTTCTACATACGAAGTAGGGAAATATAATTTTTCCACTTGCATAAGCATAATTTCTCTTGGACTATGAATACATTTTGGTTTGCATTGTATTGGTTGCTCAGACCATTGTGCATTTTCCATGCAAACAACAGTTTGTAATGAAATATTTTTGTCATTATAATAGCCAGGTTCGCATTGAATGTAAGCTTTTGAAGGATTATTTAAACAATTTATTGGGAATCCGGATTTTGATTCACAAAATGATTTTATTCCAAAAGTAAATAGAATTGAATTATCACAAAATCTTGCGGCAGAATTTGATATTGATATCGTGAATAAGATTAGTATACGACGAACGCAAATGTATTTTGTTAAATCTTTGATTTCTATGAAACTACAACTAATTTCATCAACCATTTTATTTCTTCCTTTATGCTATATTTGTTACCAAATTTTTGCCATTTGTCCGTAATATTGTAATTATATAAGTAAAACAAAAATTTATAATGTTAACCGAGGCAACTTTACTTGCTTGTGTGGTCTTAACAACTATTTAAAAATTATAAATTTATAAAAATTGAAACGTTGATTTTTGATACAAGTTAATCACTATAACATTGTAATTTAAAATAGTTAATTGATGGGAATCAGAAATTTTTTAACCATTGGCAAATAAATTCACATAGATTAATGCTAGATGTATAATTATTATAATTATCGGTAAGTGCAGATGTGGTGACAGCCACTATTAAACAATGTTACATTTTGAAATTGAAAATTTTGGTAGCAGCAAACTCTAAATAACATGAGTTGGATAACCATATTAGACGGACAATATTTATGAAAATCGAACGATTGGAATAACTACCGGGTTTAATATATAGAGAAAACGCAAATTTGATATAAGGTCTAATGATAAGGTATTTATAATCCTCCCTATTATAAAATACTTGAATTTATTAGCGCGATAGTTTTTCGAAAGGATGAAATAGGTTTGATAAATATTTAGCAGCACTTAAATCCACTTAAAATGTTAATCACTATAAATTGTGGGGAGTACTGTCTATTTCTATTTTTAAATATAACAAACTTATTTAAATTTTCCAGTGGTTTGAACTCTCCCAGTTTGTCAGTGAGAAATTTTTAATAACATCTCAATTATGCTTTGTTCTTAAATTGTAAAGCATCGCGTTAGGATTTAGACAATATTTAAAATTAATTTTAATATTTTTCCACAAGTTTAAATTAAAAATAAATCATAGAATTTAGAACATTTTCTAGCACTGTTGATAATTTACAATTATTTATTTTGGGATAAAATCGCAAAACAGTTTATTGTGTATGCCTTGTACCAGTATACACCGAATGTTAAAAACAATTGGTAGAAATTAGTGGCTTGTTTTAGTTTTACAAATAATTTATTCTTTAATCATTTTCTCTACTCTTTGTAATAACCGATTTTATAAAATCTTGAAAAAATTGTATATTTGTACATGTTGTTATGAAACCATCTGAACAATATTTCTTAAAATCTATTCCAGTACTAACAACTCCTAACAAAAAATGCGATCCACTTGCGATAACAAAACCACCGCCACTGTCACCACGGCAAGCAGTAGCATTTTCTTCATTCGTTGAGCAAAATTTATCACCACCGATATCTGCTCTAAAATTTGGATGGACCATTCTTTTACATAATCCATTTTCAATTGTTAACATATTAATTGTTTGTAGTTCTCCGGGTGATTCATCATCTGAAGAGGTTGATCCCCATCCATAAATTCTTCCGATAATTCTATCTTGAACAAGATATTCATTATATGGCTTCCATTCAATACATATGGGTTTAATATGGCTAGTATATTGAATATGATGATCCAAAATTAAAACTGCAATATCATTTCGTAATGGTTCTGCTTGATAACTGCAACGAAAATATGTAATTGTTTAATATATTTTTCAATTTAGGAATAAATAGTTATATAATGTGTATAACAAACTTTTGAGGTGTGTGTATTTCTTTTATACCAGCAAAATATTGAAACTTTTCAATAACCTCGTATTTTCGATATTTTTTACCAGCAGCAACAAGATAATTTGATACTGGATACTTTTTCCCTGTAGCTGGATTATCAAAGCAATGTCCAGCTGATATTACAATATTTGAATGAATTAATGTGCCTCCACATATTTGTTGAAATTCAAAATTGCCGGTGTAATTTGCATATATACCAACATGCCATGGTGCTGATATAATTTCAGCTGGAGAGCTTTTATATAATAAAGGAATTGAATCTGGCTCATAAACCATTTGACTTTCGCCGCAAACTCTTTCGCAATCATCTATGAGTAGTATAATAGTACTTCTCCTATTGATTTCATATATAAAAATAACGTGAGTGAATGAAAGGCTATTTTCCCGGTAGCACTTCTACGAACAATCCAATATACAAAAAAAAAAGCTCGAGCTATTAAAAACAAAAACAATAAAATAAAAAATAAAAATTATCAGCAATGCATTTAGTGAGAATTAAAAAAAAGAGAGAAACTGCGAAAAAAACAACAAAATAAATTACAATGCAAGTTTGCATGCATTGAAATGTCGATCAGAAAGCATAATAAGAGAGATATCGTGAAAATAAAAACATCAATACAAATTCAAATAAAATAGCAATATGAATAGCAATGGAATGTCAGCAAAGTTTCGATGCTGATAATGTATAATTTTTAAAAAAACAAAAATATGCATCGCAATGTAATATGCACAAAACCACGTTGTTGTTGATGAACAAGCTGAAACAAGAAAGCTTTTGTAACAAAAATCAAATAGTAAAAAAAGAATCACAAAATGAACAGAAAAAAACCTGAATAAAAAATGTAGTATTTAAAAGTAAGTTAGATTAGTTATGATTTTTTAAAATTAAACTGAAAGTGTACCTATATTAAGAAAACGTAAATTATAAAAATATTTAAAGCAAAAACTTCTTTTCAATGTAATTCTTGCATTAAGATATAAGAGATATTTTTTTTTATTTTGCAGGCGGTAAGAGGTAGTCGATACCGTTAGCCTTTAACGTTTATAAAAAAAAGATGATAATATCTGCATGCATTATGTTTGTTTTAAAATTTAATACAAGATTATGAAAATCAAAAACTTTGAAAATTGTTTGAACTAAAATACCGTACCTATATAAGAAGTTAATTTTATGACACAAGTTCTTTTTTATATAAAGCATTGAAACCTAAAAGTTGATTTTTTAAAATGAGTAATGTTAATTCCAAAATACATAATACATATTATGATAAAAATAAAGAAAATCTTTATGGTTCAATTAATAAACTTCACAAAGCTTTAAAAAATGAAAAAATATCTCAGAAAAAAATTCAAGCTTGGTTAAGAAGTCAGCCAGCATATACCTTGCATTATCCAGTAAAAACAAAGTTTCCTAGAAATCATTACCTAGTGCAAAAAATTGATCAGTTGTGGGAAATAGATTTATGTGATTTAAAAATGTTTAAAAAGTATAATGATGGTTACACGTTTTTGTTAACAGTAATTGATGTGTTTTCCAAGTTTGCTTGGGTAGTGCCTTTAAAACGGAAAACAGGAACTGAAGTTACAAAAGCTTTTAGTAAAATTATATCAGGAAGTCAAAGAAAACCAGAAACGGTTCAATCAGATGAGGGTAGAGAATTTAAAAATATAAACTTTAAAAGTTTTTTAAAACATAATAATATTAATCAAAGATTTCCAACAATTGCATCAACAAATAAAGCTGCAGTAATTGAAAGATTCAATCGAACGCTAAAAGAAAAGATGTTCAAGTTCTTCACGGAAAGTTCAAGTAAAAGATACATTGATATTTTACCACAACTTGTTAAAAGTTACAATGTTTCTGTACACAGTACTACAAAATTTCGTCCTGCAGAAGTTCAACCAAAACACACTACAGAAATTTATAACAATTTTAAAAAACGTTTTAAAAAAGACCCTAAACTATTCGTTGATATTTTCGTTGGAGATTTGGTGCGCGTACGTAGAAAAAAAGCAACTTTTGAGCACGGATATACAGAAAAATGGACAAAGGAAATTTTTATAGTAGATAAAGTTATAAATAGAGAGCCTTATCCATTATTTGTATTGCACGATTTGAAGGGTAAAGAAATAAACGGAAGATTTTATTATCAAGAGTTGCAAAAAGTTTATGTTTAAATGATGATTCAGTTCCATCATCCGTTTACAATGATAATTGCTGGGCCATCTGGCTCAGGAAAAACAACATTTATTTGCAATTTAATCAATCAAATGAAGAGTTTAATTCAGCCTGAAATAGAACATATTATGTGGTGTAATCCAGAAAATAACGCATTGCCAAAAAACTTAAATTTCACGCAAATTGAGTATTTTAATGAAATTCCTGAAAATTTAAATAACGATAACAATATCCCAACATTACTTATTTTGGATGATTTAATGATTGATGCCTACACTATGAAAGTTTGTGAACTTTTTACTAAAGGATCTCATCATCGCAACTTATCAATTATGCTGGTATCGCAAAATGTTTTTCATCAGGGAAAATTCTGTAGAGATATATCGTTAAATGCAAAATACTTGGTGTTATTTAAAAATCCACGAGATAAATCGCAAATTTTACCTTTGGCACGGCAAATAGTACCAGAAAACATCAAAGAATTCCAAAGAGTATATAATGAGACAACATCAGAGCCACATAGCTATATTATCTTAGACCTGACGCAAGGTATAAACGATTTATTTCGATTCAGAACTGATATTTTTGATAATAAAACAAAAAGTTGTGTGTGTTTTTGCACACTAGATCAGTTAAAAAATAAAACGTTATGTGAGAAATATGAAACGTTTGATAGCAAACCAGCATATACTGCATACACTAAAAAAGTCTAAAACAAAACTTCGAAATATTTTAATAAGAAATTGTGACTCTGAGGTGATTAAAACTTTGTGTGAAATTTCATTGAACATTCTTAATGGAAATACTAAACTTTCCAAAAATAAATTATCACGAATAAGAAAATATAAAAATCAACTTCGATATTTAGCTTGCCCAAAAAAATCTATAAACGCTAAGCGTAAACTTATCATACAAAAAGGGGGTTTCTTACCAATGTTAATCGGTACAGTTTTGTCAGGCTTACTGGGAAAACTTGTTTCGAAATATACAAAATGAACAACACATTACAACGCATGATTGTTATTCAACCAGACTTATACAATAAGCTAAAAGAAAATATCATAAACGATAATGAGCTCTCGGATATTGATAGAAATACAAAAGCAATTTTATTTAACAAAAAATTAAATGATAATCAAAAATGGTATTTATATCGTCAAAACTTGATGAAATTTAGTATGAAAAAACGAAAAGGTATGCAAAGAAAACCTGCTGAATCGATTAACAAGCAATATAGCATGCTAGAATCTAAAAGTACACAAACACGTCCGAAGCCCGAGCGAAAAAGCACAAGTGTTCAAACAGATCTAGTTGAAAAGAAAAATGTTGATGTACAGGCTAATTTATCTCCTCAAGAGGAATTTTTCGAATATGATCCTATTGAATATTGGAGTATAGTACCTTCAGATGAGGAAAAAGATGATGTTTTTGACGATGATATAAAAGACGAATCGCTATTACGAGACAGAGCACTATCAGTAGCTTCAGAGGGAGCACGACTAAAACCAAGGAAATCTATAAATGTAGCAAACGTGCGAATGTTTGAAACAGATTCAGGCGACATTATAAGTGTTCCTATTGATAGTCCAAAAAAACCTTTAAAACGAGTACTTCGATCATCCACAAGAGAAGGTGATAAACAATTACAACTAAATTTTCCTGTTCGAAAAAGAACAAAAGCAAAGTCTGCCTCTAGTGTATCTACGCAACAATGGACACGCTTCAAATAGAACCTAATGGGGAAGATTTTTATATAACGTTGTTGAGTGACGCATCAATTAAATATTATCCCGAAAATACTTTATCAAAATTTACAAATAAATTACCAAAACATTTGAACTTAGAGAAAAATAAGTGGAAAGTAGGAATTTGTGAACTTTTTATGAACAATTTTATTCCAAACATATTTGGAGAAGTTTACGCAAAGGCTGCTGTGATATTTATTGGAACAACGGAAAAAAACTCCATCGGTATTGGAAAAACCTATATTCCTTATAATGAAAACGAATTGCGATGCGATTGGAAAACGCTTTTATTACCCACACTGTTTCAAAATATTTCTCCAAATCCGGGATACACAAGAAAAGAAGTGGAACAACAATTAATATGGGAAATCTATAATTTCATTTCAAATGATGCTAATTATGTTTTGGATAACAAATTTAAGATAGATACTACACATACAGAATACATAAAATTATGCATTGAAAGGCCTTCGGCTGAAATACGAATACTTGTTGGCACTGGGTATACAGTAAAATTTTTATTGAAAACATGTCTTCAACAAGTACTTGCTGTACAAAAAGAACTTAAAAAATATAAATCAAAATTTATTGAAGCATATCAAAATATAACAAATATGTTAGTAACCTCTCCAGAAACTAAAACTGATATGGTGTTTGTTTATACGGATATAATAGAACCGCAATATATTGGTGATACAATGGCAAGATGTATGAGAACTATTAATACAACAAATCCATTTACAGATTTCGTAACACAATTTGACCAAGTTCAGTATTGTAATATTGAAAAAGACAGTTTTGAAAGCATTTCAATTTTGCTATGTGACAAATACGGATATAATTTAAATTTTTCTAGAAGCAACATGCCCACCAAAATTGTATTACACTTCAAAAGATATAAATAAGTCAACAAGCTCATGTTATTTATTCTTATATGATGAACCGTTCATATTACAAGTATTATTTAGTACAAAGTGGTAGGGGTACTGACGACATTGGACCTTTAGTTCACTCAAGTGTGCAATATCAAAGAGGACGAGGACTTGGAAGTTTCTTTGGAGGATTGTTTAAATATTTAAAACCAGTTATATCATCCGGTTTGAATTTAGTGAAAAAAGAATCTTTAGACACCGGCATTAATGCATTATCTGATATTATTTCCGGAGCAAATCCAAAAGAAGTATTGCAAGATAGAGGGAAAGAAGCATTAAAAAATATAAGACGTCGAGCTGTAAACAAACTAAATGAAATGTATGGCAGCGGTATAAGAAGAAGAAGAGCTATAAAAAGAACTCACTCAACTACATTAACTCATTCAAATCAAAAGAAACGCAAAGCTAAGAGTAAACAAAGGAAAAAAATTCAAAAACGAGAAAAACGAGATATATTTAATTAAAATATAAAATGAACGAATGTATGAAATCAGAACTAGATTTATTTACAAGTCCACCAATACAAGCAAGCATTCTAAAATCTGAAGAGGTTTCATACAATCCTATTGCTTCTCTGGATAGTCCCTCAACAATAGAATTCGTTTCATTAGGTCATGGTGACACATACAGGGATTTGTCTTCAACATATCTAAAACTGAAAGTTCAAATTTTAAAAAAAGATGGAACACCGTGGCATGATGATAAGGGTGCAGATGGAAAAATCCTTCAACAACCCAGTGTAGTGAATAATCTATTACATTCTATAATTAAGCAGTGCAATGTACAACTCAATGGTAAAAATATCACTCCGTCAGATGGAAATTACCATTATAGAGCTTATATTGAATCATTGTTAAATTATGGAACTGATGCTGCAACAACTCATTTGGAATGCGCTGGATGGATTTTAGATAAACCGAATATAGCTAGATCTGACAATAATGGTTCAAAGGAACGTCAAAAACTATATCATAACAGTAATATTGTTGAACTCATGGGAAAACTCCATGTCGATATGTTTAATCAACCTACGCTTCTAATAAACAATGTTGATATTCGAATTCTATTCACATTAGAAAAACCAGATTTTTTCTTATTTGCGGACGACTCGGATGAATCGCAACTAAAAATTGTAGAAGCCAATTTATTTATGAGACATGTAACTATAAATCCTAGCGTATTACTAGCCCATAATGCAGTTTTGGAAAAAGCAAATGCTAAATATCATTATAAAAGAGTAGAAGTCAAAAATTTCACAATTCCAAGCAACAGCTCATCGATTTCACTAGACAATGTTTTCATTGGTCAATTACCAAACACAATTATCTTTTGCATGACCGAAAATTCGGGGTATTCCGGGAAACGATCAAAAAATCCCTACAATTTTAAGCATTTTGATATTTCACAATTCATGCTTTATGTTAATGGTGTTCAAGTACCAAATGCAGCAATAGAAACAAGTTTTTCTGACGATAATAACTGCAGCACAAGAGCTTACCATACATTATTCTCTGGAACAGGAATTTATCATAACGACAGAGGTCATCAAATAACGAAATCTATGTTTACAAATGGTTTCTTTTTATTGGCTTTTGATTTAACCCCAGATGCATCAGGTAATGAAGTATGTCAAGGTTTACTTAATCAAGGAACTGTACGAATTGAGGCAAGATTATCGAAACCAACTTCATCAACACTTACAGCTCTAGTTTATGGGGAATTTGATGCGAACGTACAAATAGATAAAAATCGGAACGTGTATGCAAATCTATAAAAAGCTCAACATTTACTTATTATGAAACAATCAAGTATTATACTCTCCATAGCAAACATGTCTAAACAAGCTTATGCACTCATTGATTTAACATTTTGTTCCGATGATAAAGATTTTGTCTTTGTTAAAAATGTTACGCTAGTAGGAATAAAAGAAAATTGTAAAGTATTCGCTAAAGAAATACAATACAAATTTCCCACAAAAGCCCTTAAACCAAGTGCTACTGAAGGCTATAAATTTGGAAACATATATAATAACCAAGCAGATAAGGAACTTGTCGCATTAATGGAAAAATTTGATATTATTTTAACGAATGGCCGTATTAACAAGGATTTTCTAAAACACTATTTAAAAGGAAACACAAAAATTTATGATTTTACTTCTTTTGGAGAAGACAACTAAATAACTCTTATGGATTCTCTTCAAATTAAAAATGTATTGTCATGCAATCAGCAAACAAAAAAGTTTTTTAAAGGAGTTTTTCCTCTTGATAAGCTTCCTAAACATGTTCAAAAACCCGCAATTATAGTAGTAAATACAGATGTTCATACTAAGCCAGGTAAACATTGGGTATGTATCTTTATACCCACAAATGGTTTTGTCGAGTATTTTGATTCGTATGGTCAAGCACCTTCCTATAAAGAACTACAACATTTTCTAAGAAGAATTTCAAAGAATTCATATACTGTCTGGAATTACAAAAGATTACAAGGCGACTTTTCAGAAGTTTGTGGACAATATTGCTGCGTATATTTGTGGTACAGATGTAAAGGTCATAGCATGTCAACGTTTTTAGATATATTCAATAGCAACAATCTCAACTTTAATGACAAAACGGTTGTGAAATTGTTTTCAAAAATTTTCGGACGTCAAAGGCAAACAAAGAACTATTTACAAATATGCCAGAAACCGATTTCACAACAGCACTAAAGTTTTACGTCAAGAGTATAAATACAAAGCTCTGTGCTTGGAAATAATTATTCAGTTTTAGCGCTTCTGATTCTACAATGCCGTTAAAAAGAAAAACATCTCCATCAAAAATGTCAAGAAAAAAAGAAAAGAAAATATTACCGGAAAAAGAAAATTTGTTACTTTCTTACATATATTTTCTAAACACGAAACAAACATGTAAGATAGTTATTGGATTCGACTGCGACACTTTCCAGTCAAAAATAATATTTCATCGAAATGGCAAAAGATCTGTCCATGTCCTCTATGATGATTGGCACTCATTTTACAAAAAAGCCAAAATGTTGGAATCTGCTCGGATCACTAACGAAAATCAGCAACAAAGTGAACCTTTTTGCAACATTTTGGAATTCAATCAACAAGATAAAATTACTTTTGATATTCGACAAGAAGAGTATTGGAAATTGAACGAAATGTTGGATTTCATACAAGCTGTAATGTCATACAATAACAATGCTAGTGATACTATTGCAGAATACATTCATAAATACTTTACAAAATGTAAAGAAAAAGGAGTTATTAAACTATCACAGGAAGATTTTTACATACCAATGCAGTTTTCATCTTATCAATGTAATTATAGCAGACTATTCTATGAGGTGCCAATCTTTATGGCAGAACAAATATTTTGTTACTTATATAATTTGGATTTATGTAATGATTCCATAACATGTAATATTAATATAATACCAAAATAAAAAAACATTTTTTTAAATCAAATTACATTTGTTTTTATTAAATACATTAAGATATTTACGCAATTTTTTACAGCACAACGTTTTTTATGAGTGTCAGATTTCAAATGAATTACACAGAATGATTCATAATTTTTTAATTTATCTAAAGGTGGTATTTCATCATCCAAATTAATAACCTGGGGTAGCAAATATTTTTCCAAAAACGTTTTCTTTTGAACTCCTTTTACATAAACTTTATCGTAAGACGAAAAACTTCCCATGATTGTAGAAATTTCACTGTAATTAATATTACCGTCAATCCAATTCAAACCGTTGACATGTCTTAGGTTGTATGCGTTTTGCCCCCTTGCTGCTGAATCTAGTTTTTCCTGACGATACGGAGGTTTAAAGTGGTATAATTTTGAGATAATTGAGTTGGTATCAATCGTTGCCATTTCTTTTAGGTAAAGTTCATTATTACTTCCGACTATAAATTGTAGATCTGCTATTAATACATTTTGTGCCATGTTTCTTCGGTACATGTAAAAATAAAAATGAAGTTTTATTATTTTAAACTCACGAATTTATATACAAAATTTTTATGTGTACCTACCTTTTTTTAACTGTTTAAGAAACCATAAGGAATTGTTTCAAAATTATCACGGCAAGCACGTTTCGTAAATGTAAAGCCAAATTTTTTCTTTTCATCTTCTGAAGTAACGTGAAAATGTTTCTTACGCTTAATTTTGTTTGGTGTTACGAAATACAAATTATTGCTTCCAAAAGGATCGGTAACTATTTGTTTCATGTGCTCAAAATTTAGTGATGTTCCATTTTTATTACTTGTTATTCCTTTACATTTAACAACTTCTCCGTATTTGTCAGTATCCGGGTTATAATAACGATATGAATAACTTTTGGGTCCTGTTGATACAAATTCTGTGCCGTAAACATTCTTTCCGTATGATGTAAATTCGTTAGTTAAATCTCCAATTAAAGTACCTGTAACAATTAAAAAATTGTTAGTAATCGCGCAAAAATGTATTTTTAGACATTTGACAACCTGTCTTTAAGTCATACTCATTATCAGTATGCTGAACAAAAATCATAGAATCCGTATCGCAATACAAAAGATTTTTTCCAATTTTGGTTATTTCATTATACAATAAGCATCGAGCATGCGCTGTCGTAAAAGCTCCAACTATTAAACATTGATTTTTGAGAACGGGATTCAATTCAGGATAATTGTATTTCCAGTTGATCCACACCTGGTGCTCGCTGGCAGTAAATATGTCCGATACTGATATACCGCTTGAATGTATTAAATTATGAAATTGTGTGATGGTTTGTACAACAGTTGTTGAATGACGGTCATTTCGTTGTATTAGTTTTCCCCAAAATGAATTTAATTTTAGTTTCGCCAGATTTCGCAGTGAAGGATTGAGAGCAATTTTTGATTTATCTAACATCACACCTTCATTTTCAAAAAAATCCTTTATGTATGCGTCTTGTTCAGATTTAGTTTGTATACCAGTTGGATAACCAGCACCCTCAGTCTTGTATTTTATAAAAAAATTCATGTAGTCAGTAAAAAGTCCACCTGTTTTAGATATTGAATCATAAGTTTCGCAATCATAATGCCAAATTTCATGTATTTCTATTATTGTGTACCCGTATTTCACACTTAATTTTAATTCCATATCCGTCCATGTGCCAAAAAGCATTCTTTCTTTATCGTTGTGAGTACATTTATACAACACATTTTCCATTTCCGCGCATGAGCGACATAAAACCATCAACATTTTGTTGTTAGCGCGGATTGGTAAGATTGGCAGCCATAAGTTTTGCGGTGGTAGAACCGCACATTTAATTAAACCGTCTATTTTACTGATATCATTTTCAAATTGTAAACATTCTTGAGAATTATAAATTTTAGGATGTCCTATTGGATATTTACAATTTTTGTTTACATATGGGTAGAGGGAGGTGAAGTCATAGTAGCAAATTTTTTCATTTGCTTGGATTTTATAGTATAATTTAAATACTTCGGTGCGACCTCCAAAAATAGCACCTCGAGCATCAATTGAGTTAAGTAAAATCAAAGAAGTATTTTTTAAATCAATTTTTATTTTTGGATTGATTTCTAAAAATTGTTTAAATTTACATTCCCATTCACAGCACACATTATATCCACTTTGTTTTAAAACTGCTATTTTGCACATAGCATTTTCAAACCTAGCCTGCATTTTATACCCATGGACAACTAAATTTCTATCGAAGAAACAGTCTTCGCATCCATGGTAAAAGCATCCTAAAAATTCATAAACCGTATTTGTGTTTGGATTAAAGCCGTCTACTGTAAAGTTGCAATCTGGTAAATCATATTCATATTTAATTTTACCACAGCTAGCTTGATTTTTGAATTCAAGCCACATTAGGCCAATTAAAGATTGATTTTTTTTTTTACTATAATTGTTAATGGGAGTTACACCTAAGGTGTTTTCTTTTAGAAAATGTTTTTGGTATGCAGTCAAACAAGCTTGTGCTAAAGTAAAGGTTTCAAAGAAAGGGTTAATATTCAATAATTGAAGGTAATCATTCATAAATTTTAAGCATCCCTGACGTAATACATTTACATCTTGGATGCAATATTTTATTAACTCTTCTCTGTTATTGTAAACATAATTTGATTTCTTCAAGTTGTTGTACCATAAATAAAATTTTTCTAGCTCATGTGAGTTAAAATTATTCAAAGCAAACATTTCAGTGCTTGGAATTTCTCCAACATAATTATAGTTTGCTTTCGTGTTAAATAAATAAGGATAATAACCTTTAACCTCATTTTTATCAAGACCAAAAGCTGAAGTAAATTTGGACAAAGGTATTGGTAAGAAATTAAGGGAATCTATAAAAATAATATTGTGATTAAAAGTTACTTTCAAAATTTTATTTCCTCCCATAATCGGTACCACTGGCTTATTTCTTTGTAAAAGTTCACTTACAATAAATTGCCCATCATAACTTTTGAAATTATGTGCTATACAACAAATTTTTCTTGATTGATCTGTAGTAATTTTTAAGAGAAAATTTACAAATTTTGTTATGCATGTTTCTTTAGCACAATTTTCAAAAATGTATGTCCGTTTTTTACATTTCATACATTCAAAATTACTTTCATTTTCCTTCCAACATAAATTGCAAACTAAGTGTGCAGCACATAAATTAGGTTCATGTAAAAATGCGGTTTTTTTTTTTGTTTCTTGTGTACATTCTAAATCGAAAAAAACTATAAAGAAATGTTTAGGAGGATTTTTTTTATATTTTTGTATGTAACACAAGTGATCTTTTTCAACAAATTTTCCACATGTTGAACAATATTTTTCATCGCAGATATGTTTTCGTTTTTGCAAATCAAAATATTTAAAACATTTCTGACAAATTTGTATTTGCGAACATACAGAAAAGTTTTTATAGGAATTTAATTTTTTGTGGTTTGCAAAACATATTTGACCTCTAAAACGACGGTTGCAATCCATACACTTTATAAAATTGTCATTTACAAAATCGCAAGGAGGATTTCTTAAGCAATATTTACATTCTAGTGGACAAATGTGGCTGTTGTCATACAATGTGAAACAAAATTTACATTCGTATTGTTTGCTAAAAAATTTACAAACATTTTTTATAGTTATAAAATGCTTCATATTTTCTAAATAAAACAAATTTATTCTTTTAAGGTTAGTATTGCGAAAAATAATTTTTTCGTTGAAATCTTTTTTATTTTTGTATAAAAATATATTATAATTTTTTAAATATTTCTGAAATTTAAAAATATCCCCAATGTCGCACTCATTTTTTTCATTAATATCTACTTTGGCTTTATTACATAACATTTTTACTTTACAGTTTAGTATTTTCGAATTTTTTCTTAAATATTTTTTTTTGATTGTATCACTAACTTGATCAGCTAGAATCTTACCAACCCATATAGATCGCGGTAAACATGTATTATCATTAGTTTTCCCTTTATCAACAATACTTCTTCCTTTTTTTTCTAAAATTTCAGTATCTGATAAAAATGATATTTTAACACGCCCCTTTCCTGATGGTACTTGCACAATTGTAGCGGATATTTCTAATAAATCGGTAACCATGTAATTGGTATTTGATTGGGAAACCGATGAAAACAAATCTAAAATGGAATTGGAATCTAAAGTTTCAATTTTTCTAAAACTCAAACCGATGGGTTTTGTATTTTCCATGCTTGGAATAGCTATTTTGAGTCCAATTAAATCCTGTTTGTCACGACCTTGTGTTACAATCATAATTATTTTTTTGAAACACTTATTCAAGTGGTCAAACAAAGATTCCTTTTCATCGTCAAAGTCCTTAAATTTAAAAGTTATTTCCTTAGTTATTACACCAAACTTTTTATTGAACTTTTCTATTTGGTGTATAACGTTTACCAAATTTGAACCTTCTCCTTTTTGTATAATTTCGTTTTCCAAATTATTTTGAGGAATGTTTTCCGCTTCAGAAATTGAATCAATGTTTTCCCCGACCTCTTCTTCCAAATGGTTGGACGCAGGCTGCTCAGCATTTCTGTTCCTTAGAATAAAATTGTTTGTGAAATCGGTCACAAACTCGGAAAATTTAATAAAAAATGTTTCTATTAAATTTATCTAAAATAAAAAAATATAATTAATACAGAAAATGTAAGTTTTTTAAAATTAATTTATTTACCGGATCCATTTTTTTTAATTTGTCTGTTTTGTAATTTATTTTTTTCTAAAAAAAAAGCAAAATTTTAAACTAAGATATTTCAAAATTTGGCTTTTACTATTATATTTAAGAATTTGGTAATTGCAGGGAAAAGTGGAAAAAAAAATTTCACATCAATCTTATGTGCACTAAACATTATTTTATTTTTTGAAGTACTAGGTATATTATAACAAAATACTATTATACTTTATTTTTAATAAAGATTTTTAATATTAATAAACAATTCAATATATTTTTACAAAAATCACCTTTTGTGTACTGGAAATCCTTTTTTTCTGCGTGAAAATTAAATATAAATTTTTATTTTTATTTTCTTTTTTTAACTTTATTTTTTTATTTCTTTATTTTTTTTATTTTTCTTATTTTTTTCTGTTTTTGTACTTTTTTTATATTTTGTTTTCTTTTTTACTTCGGTTTATTCATTTTTATCACTTATTTTTAGTTCGGAAAAAGCTTTCCATTCTTCTTTCGTAAAATCTTTAAAGTAATTTTTTCTTTCCTCATCCGTGTGAGGAAGCTGTTTTATATCATGATTGTTTCTTTTAAAACATTCATCTAACTCTTTCCAGGCTTGCAAAAGTATTTTTTTTTGCTCTGGAGTTAGTTCATCAAACATTTTTAAAAAAAAAAAAACCACAAATAATTTGTTTCACAAATTTTATTTCTTTAAAAATTACTGAACACTTTTTTAACAAGACCGTTCAAGCAACTTTTTTAATACGAAAAAGTAACGTTTAATCAACTTTTTTAATTAGAATACCGTTCAGCCAGACTCAGCTGAACTTTAAACTTAGGTTGTCTTTTGTAGTATTCTACCAAGCAACTTTTATACGAAAAAGTAACGTTTAATCAACTTTTTTAATTAGAATACCGTTCAATTTTTTTTTGCTCTGGAGTTAGTTCATCAAACATTTTTTTAAAAAAAAACCACAAATAATTTGTTTCACAAATTTTATTTCTTTAAAACTTTTATTTCTTTAAAAATTACTGAACACTTTTTTAACAAGACCGTTCAAGCAACTTTTAATACGAAAAAGTAACGTTTAATCAACTTTTTTAATTAGAATACCGTTCAGCCAGACTCAGCTGAACTTTAAACTTAGGTTGTCTTTTGTAGTATTCTACCAAAATTAGTTGACTTCGTAAAATCAAAATAATACTGATATTTAAAAGACAAAAATCCTACTGCTTTTATACCAAACATTTTTCTTAATTTAATTGGGGTATATTAATTCCATTTAAGAAAAAATTATTTTTTTAAGGAGGGAAATCACAAATGTAAATTAAACAAATCGTATTACAAAAAAACACACCATAAATTTTAATGTTGCATAAAATAATTAACCATTTCCAGTTTTTTTTTTTGCATCTTGAAGCACCTTTGCAGTATAAAAAGACATCTGTTCTAAGGAATAAGCATAAAACACTTTTAACACTTAAGAGCGTTCGATAAAAAAAAAATTAATTCCTATTTTTCTGAAATGGTAAGTTATTCTAATCCAAAAAATTTTATATCTATTTTTAATACATTATAGAAAAATCTAACTTTTATTTTCTTTTCAAAACTAGAATTTCAACGAATTGTTAAAAGAAGCGTCAAATGTGTCATCATACAAGCCTTTGATGAAAAGCGAGGACTTGGAACTTCACAAGGTTTACAGTATAACAAAAGCCGTTGTTATTAAAACTAAATATGGGAAGAAAGTTCTACTCGAAACAGACACCCACCAATATTTTTTACCGAGCAGATACTCTGCATTTATTACTGTCAAGAAAATAACGGATTACACCATATCTCCTAAGTTAAAAATGGTCATGACGGGGCGAGACGATACGGAATTTCAAACACCAATTTTGAAATTCTTTGAAGAGGAATAGAAAGCTGATTTTAATTTTGTAATATTTTAAAGTAAAATCTAAAAAAGAATAAAATACATTTTTTTTAACCTCAAAATTAAATAATAATCACTGATTCATATTTTAATGCAATAAAAAACTTAAAAAATGAAAAATTTGTCTTTTTCTTATAAAATTTACAGCAATATTTTCAGGTTCATTATTTTTGTATTAAAAAACAAACATAATGCATGCAGATATTATCATCTTTTTTTTATAAACGTTAAAGGCTAACGGTATCGACTACCTCTTACCGCCTGCAAAATAAAAAAAAATATCTCTTATATCTTAATGCAAGAATTACATTGAAAAGAAGTTTTTGCTTTAAATATTTTTATAATTTACGTTTTCTTAATATAGGTACACTTTCAGTTTAATTTTAAAAAATCATAACTAATCTAACTTACTTTTAAATACTACATTTTTTATTCAGGTTTTTTTCTGTTCATTTTGTGATTCTTTTTTTACTATTTGATTTTTGTTACAAAAGCTTTCTTGTTTCAGCTTGTTCATCAACAACAACGTGGTTTTGTGCATATTACATTGCGATGCATATTTTTGTTTTTTTAAAAATTATACATTATCAGCATCGAAACTTTGCTGACATTCCATTGCTATTCATATTGCTATTTTATTTGAATTTGTATTGATGTTTTTATTTTCACGATATCTCTCTTATTATGCTTTCTGATCGACATTTCAATGCATGCAAACTTGCATTGTAATTTATTTTGTTGTTTTTTTCGCAGTTTCTCTCTTTTTTTTAATTCTCACTAAATGCATTGCTGATAATTTTTATTTTTTATTTTATTGTTTTTGTTTTTAATAGCTCGAGCTTTTTTTTTTGTATATTGGATTGTTCGTAGAAGTGCTACCGGGAAAATAGCCTTTCATTCACTCACGTTATTTTTATATATGAAATCAATAGGAGAAGTACTATTATACTACTTCTATGTTTTCTGTTTTATAAGCCCATTTGTTACGAGAACATTTATTGAGAAAACTGTTTGTTTTTGATTTCGTATTTTGATAACCTATATTGCATCGAACAATTATACGATCAGCATCATTTTGACAATCAACAGATTTGAGAACATGTCCACTTCCACCCAATAAACCACCGCCTACAGCTGCCACTGTATATAAATGCTCATATATGAAATTATAACATAATATTTCAACTTTATGAGCATTCTGTATGTCAAATTCTGGAGGATAACATTTAGATTTATACTCTGGTCGTATTCTAAGAAAAATATATAATAAACAATATTATGAGCACAATTAAAACACCATTTACCTATTATTTAAAATCGGATTATTTGATTGAATTTTAGATGCTAAACAATTTGGCTTTGTATATCTGTCGAATCTAATGAAATTCATATTATTTAAAACTAAAACGCACCATTCTTCATTTTGAAATTTGACTCTTGGAATTTCATAAAGACAATTATGTACATATTCTTCCACTTGCTTAAATTGTTTGCGTATTTTGAAATATGAACCAGTTTTACCTTCGATGTGTTCACATTTGATTAAAATGTCTCTTTCATTCATAACAAGACCGGAAAATGTATTTGCTTCATTTGTTTTTTCGACAACATCGACATACGATGACGGAAGCTGTGATCCATTATCATTAACACATTTTCTTCGACATTCCATTGGTTGGTCAGACCATTGTCCATTTTTCTTGCAATAAATTGTTTGTGATGAAATATTTTTATCATTATAATAGTCACGTTCGCATTGAATATGTGCTCTTTTGGGATTATTTAAACAAGACGTTGAGAATCCATCATTTGACTCACAAACTAATTTGTTTCCAAATTTATATAAAGCCTCACTACTACAGTATTTAGTATTTAAACATGGCAATCGACTAATGAAAAGTAATAACATAAGAATGATATAAAAATCTTTTCCTAAATTTTCATTTCTAATTTGGTAAAAGTCTTTGTTATCATTCATTTCTGTTTTTTTTTGTTACGTTTTCCAATTTTTTTTAATATTTGCTATATAATATTATTTCAAACGGTTTAAATGTTGAAAAACCAATTTATTAACTCCACATACTTTTACGTACTAATGAAATTTTCTAGTTTTTTAAATTAAACTTTCTTGATAAGTACAGTTGTTATTTTATAAAAAAATATTAACATTGACTAAGCAAGATGTAATCAGTTTAGGAAAATATTATCAGCCACAAGACCGTTGATAATAACAACTACACGTTGTTAGTGTTTCCTTAATGTATTAGGCGTTCCTGTAGATGTAGGTATAGATATGGTCTCATAGCTATTTCTTTTAATATTAATCGAAAAGAGTGGAATGCAACGGAGAGAACAAATCGACGAGAGTTTCTTAATACTTTTGCAGCTCAATTGATAGAGCGTTCAACTAGATTACTTACTGATTCGAGTTCTATTCGGAAATTTTTTCTTCCTTGACTTATTTCATCTATCATCCATCTGTTATGTTATTCGTCTGTTGTGCAGAACTGTATGTAGTCGTAGTTTAATATTTACATGAAATTATATTTGAAAAATAAATGATAACGATTTACTTAACAATTACAATGTGAAATATTTAAAAACTCAACCTACATATATATTTATATTATAGCAGTTTTAATTGAGCTTTTAAAACAACTATATACATAAATTCATTTTTCCTCATATTTGTTAATGGTGTGGGAAAAAGCTCTTAAAAAATTATTTATAAATATTTCAGATTTTCAATTAAACTTTTCTATTGTGCTGTGAAAATTGTCACACATTTAAGGGCACAATAAGTGACAATTTTTCTTCAGCTCCTCATTAATTCATTCAAATCGTTAAATTTTATTTCTATAAATAAAAGTACCTTGCCCAGAGTAAATCTGTTTTTTAAACTTACAGTTTTCGAATAGAAACTCATTCGAATGAAGGTATTATATATAGGCAAAATTAGGCCTTCCTAAATTCTCACTAGTCATAATAGGGGTTTTGACATATTTTACCTTGCATTTTCCAAAAAAACAAGTTCTGTTGTACCCATTGTATTGATGAAAAATATCATTGAGCTCATACAAGTCATTACAGGGAAAAAAATATTTTCAAAACTTTAAAGTTATAATTTTCTCATAACTTTAAAACTTGTAGATGACACTGTTCATTTACTCGTGTCGTCATTTCTGAAATCATATTGTACAATAACAATAATTTATAGATTTAAAAATTTTCCACAATTATTTTTTTTGTATGCAAAGTATTTTTTATGGAAAATTAAATAGCCATAGTTCCAATTGAGAAAAATATTAATAATATTAATATTGTAAATCGAATTTAGATAAATTTTTAGAGTTTCTCAATGGAAAACTGAAAATTTTTTCAAGTTAAAATTTTAAATAGCTAGATAATTTCAATTTCTAAAAAAAATTAATTTAATATTTTGTTATATTTTTTGATCTCTAGTGTTTATTCACATTTCGTAATTGGCAACAATTTCCAATGTAACCATTCGATCGTTAGTTCCATTGGTAAACGTTTTTATTTTTAATATTACCATTATTATAATGGTTGTACAGGTGATAATAAAATAATAAGATGGGAAATTTATATAAAATGAAAGAGGAAAAAATATGAAGCTTTAACAGAGCTATAAAGAGAAAATTTTCAATAAAGGAAATTATTTTAGAGTAATGGATGGAGTACGATAATGTCAAATGAAACAAGGTCCGAAATTTTTAAATTTATTTTTCAAAATTTAATTAAAGAATTCAAAATGGGACTACAGTTTTTGCGTTTTATATCGTGATTAACACTTAATTTGTACTTCATTTTATAATAGAGAATAAAATTTTATAATCTTGGAATTATTAGGAATTCATTTTACAATTTGGCAACATCTAATTGTACTCCATTACAATTGGGTGTTTATTAATAGAAATAAATGCCCGATAATTAGATTATTTAGGTAAAGAGAGATTATGGAATTTTAATCATGATGTATTTTCCTATATTAAAGACGAGGCAGTTTTCTATTAACCTCAATTATTTTTAATATTAATTGGATATGGAAACATATTTTTTTTAGTTAAAATTCAAAAAAACCATGAATATTTTTCCTCTGCCTTCAGTAAACAAAATTAAAATTGTACTCAGTGCTTTAAATTAAAATTTACTTTTAAAAGTGTCGTGAGATAAAATGACCAAAGACAAGCCTTTGTAATTCTTTTCTCGTTCTGAAGTGATTTAATAATGCCAGATTCATATATAGCTACACCTTATTAAATAGTTACACTGTTTTGAAATCATTTGGCCGATATTTCTTTGGTTCATTTTTAATATAATAAATTTTAAGATCTTATTGAATATTTTCTTCAGTACTTGAATTATTCGTCACTTAGTGGAAAAAATATTTTTTTTTTCTTTTATTTTAATAAAAAAAAAATTTTATGTCACTTCCTATCAATACTTTCTTTCAAAGAACACAAAATTGAGAAAAATTTATGCGGTTAATGTTGAATCCTTCTTTGTTACATAGTTTTTATTTTATTTTTTTTACATTTTATAAACTTTTCCGTTCAAAAACACAGAATATCTACGTACAACTCTGAGATATTTTCGCAAATCTTATATACGCTATTTTAATGGAATCGTAAAAGGTATGTGCACGTATTTTTATGGTATGTACCATAAATATACTGAATATTATGTTTTATAACATTTTTTTTTACACAATCTCATTGCCCTTTAAATATTGCAGAATTCATTTTTATCGAAATTCATAATACTGTCCTTATAATATAATTGAATTAGCTATAGATTTTATTTATTTACAGTAGATATAGTGCCAATAATCTATAGTGATTTACCGTAGATAATTACACAGTAAGACAAGGAACTAATTTAAAATTTTTTGGCTTATGTTTTGAAATTAAATTGTATAACACTATTAATAGGATTACAGCATAGATCTACCGATTTTAATCCCATTATTCTAATATATCATAATTAGTTAAGAAAATATTAAAATTTCCCTAAAATTTTTATAATATTATAAACTATATGATAAATTTTGCATCCGCCTCAATTATTTTCATAGTTTCAATAAGAAACATACCTCACTTGCCATTCTACAAATATTATATAGTATAAATAAAAAATATATTATAAAAATATCGTTTATAAGAGACCGTACAGTTCTAGTAGAGTCTCAAATGCGAAATAAAACAGCGACAAAAAAAAAATAGAAAAAAAAAACTTCTTATATCCTTTACTATATACTAAGTGGTGATTATGTTCCAGGACGTGTTTATGCATATTTTATATATATAATATATAAAATCGAAAAAGAAGAAAATATTTAGTGTAACTATTTAAAAGATGAGTACATAAGGATTTGTTAAAGATATTAAATTGTATATATATATAATATACACTTAAGTTGAATGTCAGTAATATAGGGGGGGAAAAGGAATACGGTATGATGTGAGATCAATTTTTATTATACCATTTAAATATTATATATAGAATTTATAATGTACGTAAGTATATTACGTATTTTTAGAAATACATATATATATGTATGTACATACACAAGTAGAATATGAACAATTAAATTTTGTTTTTTTTTTAAAATGTCTCCTTGTTTTAGGATATTGAAAGAAGATTTAAAAGTGGATAAGTGGACTGAGTTGAAATTAAAAGCGACCCTCGCACATACAATATTTTTGCTGCAAAAATAAATGCTTCTTAAGTTTCTTAATATTTTTAAAATCTCAAAAAATTGCTTAAAAATTTTTTATCTCTTCTACTTTAGTCAGAAAACGCTTTTAGAATTTTCCAAATTTTCGGATGAATTTTGGTCTTTTATACTAATATTACGGCGGTTATTTATTTAATATTCTTATTTAAAAATATTTTTAATGGAATATTGCAAATTCGGAGGCAAAATGTAATCACCAAATGGATTTTAAAAATTTATAGACTAAATTATACGTTTTTCACAACTGTCTACTACTGATTAGTCTTCTATAATTAAAATATAGATTAAATTTTAATCTGTTGGTTTAACAATAAAATCTGTTGATTCAAAAACAAAAACACTTGTTATGTCACTGTTAATAACTAAATGATTTTCCAATTAAAGGATTACAAATTTAATAAAATTTTTCAATTAAAATTTTTTTTTTTTCCGTGAATTTTCAATTTAATTCTTAAAATAGCTTAAAATTTTCATATTAAATGCATTCTTAGTTTGTATTGTTAGTACTTAGTTTGTATTGTTAGTAGTTAGTAATTTATATAAAATGAAAATACACTGTAATCTTATTAATACAAAAAACGTAAGGAGTCTAAAAGTTTTGAAAAACATGATTGAGTGGTGATAGTATTTTGTCCTTTAAATGTTGAAAATTTTACTCTCTAATTTAATGTTAAATTTTAATAATTATTTAAAGTTAAATTAAAGAACTGCTCAACTCAATTTTTAATGAAAATTAAGAATTACTAAGAAACTGAGTGTGATTGGAAGTTCAATTTGAATTATATATTCTGCACCTATAGAATATTTCTATAATTATTGGTAAAAATTTGTAATAAAATAATTATTAGAGAAATTAAGTTACACCAAAATCAAGTATTTTTGGCGACGATTTTATTTATTAGAGCCTCTTGAAGGGTTAAAAAACTAAACCTTGTTTAATCATTACTTGCTCAACAATATTGCTGTTCTCTTATTACATTGATTTCATCAAGTTATATTTTAAACTAATCGCTCAAAAATTTCCTAAAAAGTTGATCTTTTTAACAAACTATAGAATGTTGAATAGTTCAATTTAATATTCAAATACTTATTTTGCATATGAAAAATAGCTAAAAATATTCTCACTTAACAAAATTTTTGAGGCACAAATTATAACTCAAAATATGTCGGTATACATAAATGTCATTAAAAATGTTTTTAAATATTTTCAATAAAATTATATCATTAGGTTTGACGGCACAATTACAATGAAAATGTTATAAAACAAAATATAATTTTGATAGCAAGTCATT